GAAGATGAGGAAGAGGAGTGTGAGGATGGTGAAGTCAGCAGTCATCGCAGGGTGAGCTACTGCAGATAGATCCCCGAATCAGATGGGCGTTTTCCCTCATGTCCATGTACAGTTACACCATGACAGGAAATAATGTCCCCCCAGGGCCACGGTGCAGCATGCAGACAGCTAGCTGCACTAATATTATTATTATTATTATTATTATTATTATTTTTATTAGTAAGTGGGCTTTATTGTCATACCATCTGTATACAGGTATAATAGAATAAACTGTGCCAGATGACTGTCAATAAATAGATGATATGTTGATATATATATCTTAGGGGGGGGGCGGTTACCATGTCACAGAGTGTGGAGCTTTAAGCAGAGCCCTGAAAGGTCGGTAGCGCGATTAATTTTGTAAATCGCAAACACCGTTGTTTTGTTTTCCTTTTCTCCCTCGTTTTGTTCTTTTGCTTTCAGTGATAAATCTTCGCTGTGTTTTGGTTCCTTGTTTTTTTGTGTTTTTTCTTTTTTAAGTCCACGCGGCTGGTGTGCAGGATCAACCCCTTCAGGATTATGGAGTACCTTCAGCTCGGCCTGGAGGAGGTAGGGCACCGGCTTTCGCTTCCCTGCACGCTAGCCCTGTTTGACTTGTTTTGGCGGTGAATTTGTCATTTTGTGTAATTTTTTTTTTGGGAGGGGGAGAAAAAAAACATTCCAGTTGAGGCACTGTTGACGCAGCTGGTGTGTGTGTGTGTGTGTGTGTGTGTGTGTGTGTGTGTGTGTGTGTGTGCGTGCGTGCGTGCGTGCATATGTGTGTGTGTGTGCACGCATATGCTTGTTGGGGCGATTCTTAGAGATAATGAAAAACAAATGACGGAGCAATAGAGGTGGTCCATGGGCTCCCACACGTGTGCCCCCCCTCCTTTTCACCTGGGTATTCTTTCTCTTTTCGCTGATGATTCCTTCACGTCTCTTGCTCATAAGAGTGCCGGTCCTATGGCAGACTCGGGTTTGAATTCGTGCCGTGTGCCCACTCAGGTTTGGTGCATCAATAATCTGAGTTGTATCCGCTTTGGACCCATTAAGCAGGCAGTGTTAGCCCTCCGTGCCTGGATCCGAAGGTTGTCAGTTCAAATCCCGTGCTGGGCAGAACAGTCACATTCCTCTTGGGCCCTTGAGACCTTTGACTCCCCGTAAAATGCTCCGGGGTGCCGGAGAAACGGCCGATCCTGTGCTCAGACCCTGAGCTTCACACTCACCTGTATTTGCGTCTTTATTATTAGTGTCTTATGTCTTTAACTAAAGAGCATTCCAAGGTACCTGCTCTCCTACTTGTGCAAATGGCAAATATAGCATTATTTCATTTCATTAGGCTGGAATTTGTAGCTTTGCTGTTTTTCTGTTTCATTAATGTTTCCTCTGTTTTCCAGGCCTTCTTTCTCGTCTATGCCTTAGGCTGCTTATCGGTCTATTACCACGAGGTAAGGCTGCTCGTCGCCCATATAAATTGTATTAAACCCCATATGGAGTATGTCCGGGGTCCGCTGACATGGCCGCTCGTGTCCCTCTGTTTTTTCCCTCCCTAGGAGCCCCTGACCATCGCCTGCCTCTGGGAGAGGTTTTGCTCTGCACAGCCCGGCTTCTGCTCCACCTACGCAGCGTACCACTACTTCCGTGCCAAGGGCTGGGTGCCGAAGGTGGGGATGAAATATGGAGCTGACCTGTGTGAGTTCGCCACGGCTGGATCTGAGCTCAATTTCATGCTGGTTCACCCTTATTTTAAAAACAAATGGATTCCTCATACTTTGGCTAAAAAGGCAATGTTCCCTTCAGTCCCCTGCGATTGAGCCATCAGCCCAGGTCACATGTACTGCAGTTCATTTGGAAACACAGGCAGCGCCTATCCGTGGTTGGCGTAACCCCAGTCATCCACTCCGGTGAAACATTGATGGCCCACAAATGTTTTTTCCGTTCGAAGAGACGTTTCGACAAGATAAGGGCCCGTCAGGAGACATTTTCCAAGAACTCAAAGTGGAGATGGTGAATTATTCAAGGCTGGGCAGGCAGGGTGGGCGTCCATCTCCTAACAGACGCGGGGAAAACCGACTCCTTTTGTCTGGTGTGGAGGGCGCGGGTCGGCCGCCTCTGCCAAACCCTAATCCTGCTCCCTGGCATGTATGACAAACACGCCCCTTAAGACTTTGTTTCTCCTGCCTGCAGTGCTGTACCGGAAAGGACCTCCATTTTACCACGCCAGGTGTGTGCCAATATCGGTCATCGTCATAAGGCTGTCATAACGTTACACTGACATTCCCATCAATGGTATTCAATGACCAGAAGTTACATTAAAAACATTATTACAATTACATTGTTATTACATCACTTCATTCACAATGATCAATATGGCTTCTGGTCTGACACTTCTCACACAAGACCCCTTGAGATGAACAAAAGTCACGACCATGCCAGCGAAGTCTTCTGCTTGCCTCCAGTTTCAGTTCATTTTCATATCACAGTTTATACTGATTCTATATATCTTCTTTCAATAGGTTTTATATCTGCCTTATTGACTTCTCCGGTTTCCACTTCTTGTTTTTGTTTGACTTCTTGAGTTTTGCGTACATTATTTAATCGACTGCTCCGGTCTGTGCTGAATCACTGTGTCTGGCTACGATAATGCTATAGCCCCCATTATTAATGGTGAGTGATTAACATGTTACCTCCGTTCCTGTGCTCTCCTCTCCCCCAGTTACTCTGTGGTGGTGGAGGTGGCGGACGACTCCTTCCACGGGGCGACTCTGCGGCCGTTCTCCTGGCGTTCCCTGGCAGCTCTGAGCAGGATCACCGGCAATGTCTCAAAGGTGAGGCAAAGGCATCATCTAGGCCTCTCCCAGGCTTCGAAGCTGTATGTCTGTCTAAGCCCCACTTTAAAGAAGTTCACCAGAGCTTTTCCCATCCTGTAGATCAGTGGTTCTCAAACGTTTTTGCACCGCAACCCAATTTTTACCATGCCAGCTCAGTTGTGACCCTCTTGTGGTTCAAATTAACGCTATTATCATCGCACAGTGCACTTGTGCAATTTACGACAATCAATGCCTATCGCACAAATCTGATTGGATGTGCCAGTTAATTTTAAATTAAGCATCTGTGTTTTGGCTTCTAGGATTGGTTGTGTTCACTAGTTTTGCGCTAAGCGTTTGCAGACCCACAGGTTGGGAATTGCTGCTCTAGATAGCTTGGCTGTTTCAGCACTAAATCATAACTGAAACTTAATCGTTGCAGTAAATGGTCATGACCTTTGACTGTCTGTCTTCTCTTCTGTATCTGGGATGGTTTCTTCTACCAGACCATCAGAAAGCTGAATTCTGGTACTCTGGAATTCTAACCCAGTTACTGGCTATTTCCATTAAAGTTTTATCCACATTAAAAGCAAATTTTCAATAAGTTGACAAGGTGAAATAGTGAATAAGGTGTGTTTCCATTAAAGGCTGTCATGCGAATGGTTCTTGCCATTTAACATCTCACTAAATTAAAATCCATGTCTCAGGCTTGGAGCAGCCTTTCCACGAGTTAGTAGCTGTAGAATAACTAATCATGAACATATGTCCTATGTATCTACTAATTCACTAATTCTGTTTCAGTTGCAGTTTTGTAACACTTCTTTTTCACCAGAAAAACGTACCTCATGCAGATGTAAAAACATTTTTGTAATATTTGAGGTTTTTTTATTATTATTTGAGTGTTTCCATTAACAGTTTTTCAGTTGGCATGAGATTGTTCAGCATCTTGGTCAATGAAAAATGACACTATTGTTATGCATATCACACCAGATTCATAATCATTTCACCACACTGCATCGGTCACAGTGTATGTGTAACTGTCACTGCATCCAGCATCAATAACTGTATTACTGTTCATCATACGTTATTGTATTTGTTTTTAATTTGCACATTATTATTACTATGTTGCATGTTGTCCATTTTACAATGTTTGTGCTATTCCATCACTACGGTTGTGGACTTGCACACACTTTTCACACACCTGTGCTTCACTAAGTGTCAAGTGATCTGACAGATGAAGTGATTTGATTTGAAACAGCAGTACGTAATCGTAATGCACAAATGCAAGTCAGATTTAGTAGTATTAGCTAAATTAAGGGTCACAGACCGTATGTGGAACACGTCATTCCGAGGCTGATGATTCTAGGTTCAGCTGAAATGCAGAATGGTAATCAGATTAGCGTTTATCTAGATTTATTTTGCTTTTCAGATACCAAAAATCACTATACTGATGAGGAAAATTCATACAGAGCATGTCAGCCTTCAGTCTTCCTTCTGTGCATTCAGTCCCTACTTTGATCGGTGGTTTGGAGACCTGACTATGGTTGATGGTTGATTTCCAGGAGTTGATGCTGTGCTACGTCATCAGACCCTCGGGCCTGACAAGGGAGGAACTGTCTTCTCCAGAGTGTATAAAGAGGATGAAGATCCAGGTGCGGCCTTTTATGACCGCTGACGAAAGAGTGGGCGCCTCATTTGCAAAGCGCTCATTACCTACCTGCATGTCCCTTTCTTTTCAGGAGATAATCATCAGCAGATGGGTGTCTTCACGAGAACGGACAGAACAAGAGGAAATCTGATACGGACCATCTAAATATTTAATTACAGGTTTAACTGTTAAGTTTAACAGAAGTTCAGACCTGAAAACGGGTGATGTGCTTCTTATTGCTACCTCAGTTGAAGGATAATTTATCTCACATATTGGAATAATTTATCCAACATATTAGATACGCAGCTTATCTGTCACACCCTTCTGCTAAGGACATGCAGGAAACCCAAACAGTATTTCCTGTTAACCCTTTGTTCATGAATTGGTTATTTTACTCTATAATTTGTGAAATAACAATGTAACAAACACATCAAGAAACCTTTGATATCTGAAAGATACATGCATCCAGTAATAATTTATATAGAATCATTGTTCCCTCATTCAGGTAATAAAATAAGACCATTGTAGATTGTACTATGAAAGTGGAGGTAGTTTTAATTAACATCAGTTTAACACGTTTAGCTGTGGTCTTCAGGTAGTAAAATGTCGATGTTAGTTCTCACTGTGGTCTCCGTGTCGGTTCTTGTGGTCCATCACGATGTAGAAGTGGTTCTCGGCGATCTCTCTGCACAGGACGCTGTACTTCGAGGCCCTTTTTATCCGGGGGAGGACGAAGGCGTTTGTGAACTCGTCTTTACTCAGAGCGCGCTTGTGTTCAGTTGCCAGCACGCAGTTTATGAACGTCAGGGTGAAGTTGTAACAGTTGTGCTTTTCCTCATCAAATCTGCAACATAAAACGACATAAGAAAACACACATTCCTTATTCCTCCCTGTGGGGGAACTTTCTCTTCGTCTGTTCTCTCTCTTAAATGGACACATACAGGTGAGAGCAAGTTTGGGAGTCACAAGTCAGGGCCAGCCGGCATGTGTGACCCCTGGAGCTGGGGGTTAAGGGCCTTACGCAAGGGCTTAACCAGGGTATCAGTCTGCCAGCCAACTGATAACCTTGTGCATTAGTGGTTAGTGGCTAAGACTCATATATGAAAATTTATATTAAATATTATTTTTCCACTTTATTTGAAGCGTGCCGGATGAATACTTAAAAAAAATGGTTGTTGAGTGGAGATGACTCTGAGACTGCCTGGTCTCCTCTGCTTCAGCGTTTCCCTGAAGCACTCCGCACCTTTGCCACTGCGTGTCCCACATGTGGGCAGAGGAGAACTTGTCGAGGTACCGGTCCCACTGGTTGATGAGGTTGTACATGTCTGGTTGCACCAGTGGGATGCTGATGCACCTCTCCCACCCATACTCGTCTCTGCGGACCCCTGTCTTGGTGTAGTTGTAGACCACGCCTAGGTACAGCAACAGAGACACACACACGATGGTCTTAGCACGCTTTTTTTGCTGATGCATACTTGGTGTTAAAAAAAAGGCTATAGAAGCTTATTTGTGACAGACATTCAAGTACTGTTGTATTGATAGTGATCTGACTGCAGTGCAGTTGGCTATTGTTTCGCTAGACCAGTGGCCTGTACTACGAAGCGGGGTTACTGGTTTATTGGGGTAACTTGTCGGATTTAAGGTAGTCTGGGCAAAATGTAAGTGAACGAATATGAAGTCCATTTAAACTGTGGTGCCTTAAATCCAACAAGTTACCCCGATAAGCCAGTAACCCCGCTTCGTGGTACAGGCCAAAGAGTTCTTCAACCCAGTCTGTGGGCACAGACAGTTCACATTTTACTACCTCCAAGCTCCAAAAATACCAGAAGCAAACAATCAAGAACACCAAATACCTGGTACAGGTGTGCTGGGGCAGAGCAAAAATGTGGAAATCTCCTTGTTGATTATGTAGTATGTTATTGGTTAAGTTTATTGTCAATCAAGAGCAGTTAATGTTTTGTTTATATAGTTGTTCCCGCCCCTTTCCACACTTCAGAGAAACGTAACCTCTTCAGCTTTCTGCAGAGGATTAAATGTGCAATTGTAATTTTTTTTTTACTACTTGTGAGGTAGTGTGCGTGCCGCTAACAATCCACGCTCATGCTCGCGTGCAAAACAAAAGCTGACAAGTGTCTGCATTGTGCACAATAAAGAACGGTTGCCCCACTGTTCTAACCAGGCAATCTGCTGTCAGATACTTTAACTCTGAACACCATCAGGGCTTTCTGGAGGAAGGGCACACCTATTTTTTGTGCTAATGGTTGAGTCCTGCTGGTATCTAATCACACAGGTGTGGCTCACATGTCCAATGCATGTCTAAGTATATTTGTACTCACAAATACACGCACACTCAACAATGTCCCGTTTACACCCGTATACATGGCGCTTGCGTTGCCGGTGAAGAACGTTCGGTACTGGAGAAGCACACACCGTTAGTGTCTGTGATCCCAGTATGTAGGTCAGATCCTCCGTCAAACTCCCTGTGAAAGTAACGGAATCAGGAGGCGAAACACAACAGTGAGAGTCTGAAGAGGTCACGGACCGTACCACTGCATTACTGTACATTTCCATGCAGTTCATTTTCACTAAAAAAAAATTCTTAAAAACAAAACATATCCGTACATTTGCTAGATCATTTGATAAACTGTTTTGCAGATACTGTACATACTATATATTGATAAAATGTACAAAAGCTAAAATGATATATATATTTATACACACACAGACACACACACACCTTATTGTGCTTTGAATAGCTTTAGTATGTATATTATAAGTGAAAGTTGATATCTGAAGTCTTACCTGACAAAGTGTCCCTCTGTCGGGGCGATGAGGAAGGAGCAGAGTGCCTTGTGTCCATTGGAGAAGGGGCTGGGGATGCTGACTGGGGCCTCCTCCAGACGGCGACCACCAAGGCCAACGCCACACTGAGGGCATCGCTCTGGGATGGAGAAACAGTAGATGTTCCGGCCGCAGTGGCTGAATCTGATCACGCTCTTGTCCATGGGATGCGGGAGCGTTCACACCGGCTGACCCTTAAGAGTGTGGCTAGGATATCGAGAAGCTACTCAGCCGGAGCGGAACCTCATTCGCTGCTGCGTGCTAACGTTGCCCTGGGAGACCAGAGTCATTGGCCTATCGGGTTCCAGAGAGCATGCAGCCATGGTTACCGAAGGAAGCAGAGCGAATACGAAAGGATCCTCATGCAGGTGGTGTTAGAGGTGGTGGTGCTATGACCAGACCACATGTTCTAGCATTACTATGACCAATAGCTTCATGGGAAAAAATGAAGTTGTTTACATTTTTCTAGGGGACATCTTGTTAAACTCAGTCATCCTGAGGAATATATGAAATTCATCAACACCATCAGGCCTTTATCTTTAACATCCTAAATATGCAATCTGCTTCAGATAAGACAAAAAATAAATTGTATTTGTAGATATTATGGTTGGATGCCCCCCCCATAAGAAAAAAAAACTCCAAACTTACTTACATAAACTCCATACACTAACTACTTTTCAAAAGTTTGGGGTCACTTAGAAATTTCCTTGTTTTCCATGAAAACATACATGAAATGAGTTTGAATAAGAAATACAGCTAAATAAATAGGAAATAGTCATTACTAGAAATCTTTGAAATTAATAATTGTTTTCTTCAAACTTTGCTTTCGTCAGAGTCCTCCATTTGCAGCAATTACAACCTGGTAGACCTTGGGCATTCTAGATGTCAGTTTGTTGAGGTAATCTGATGAGATTCCACCCCATGCTTCCTGAAGCATCTCCCAGAAGTTGGATTGGCTGTGTGGGCACTTCTTGCGTACCATTCGGTCAAGCTGCTCCCATAACAGCTCAATAGAGTTGAGATCCAGTGACTATGCTGGTCACTCCATTATACACAGAATACCAGCTTCTTCCCTAAACAGTTCTTGCATAGTCTGAAGCTGTGTAAGGGTTATTGTCCTGTTGTAGGAGGAAATTGGCTCCAATTAAGCTCCGCCCACAGGGTTTGGCATGGCATTGCAGAATGATGATAGTCTTCCTTCTTCAAGATCCCTTTTACCCAGTACAAATCTCCCAGTTTACAATCACCAAAGCAGCCTCAGACCATCTCATTGCCTCCACCATGCTTCACAGATTTCATCAAGCAGTCCTCCAGGATCTTTTCATTTGTTCTGCATCTCATAAACCACCTTCTTTGTGATACTACTACCTCAAACTTTTCTACTTTTAGAAAAGTTTATCAATCCATAGCACTTTTTTTCCAATCTTCCTCTGTCCAGTGTCTGTGTTCATTCGCCCTTCTCAGTCTGTTTCGCAAACTACACACTCTAATATATTTACCCTCTCGCTCAGTTGTGCATCAGGGCCTCTCTCTCCTCTTTCTATTGTGGTTAGAGCCTGTTGGCGCCGCTCTGTGAAGGGAGTGATACACAGCATTGTACGAGATCTTCAGTTTCCTGGCAATTTCTCGCATGGAATAGCTTTCATTTCTCAGAACAGGAATAGACTGACGAGCTGCAGGAGAAAGTTCTTTGTGTCTGACCATTTTGAGCTTTGAGCGTGAGAAACCCACAACTGCCGATGCTCCAGATACTCAACTAGTCCAAAGGCGGCCAGTTTTATTGCTTCTTTAATCGGCACAACAATTATCATCTGTGCTAACAAAATTGCAGAAGGGTTTTCTAATGATCGATTAACCTTTTAAAATGATTAACTTGCATTAGCAAACACAACATTCCACTGGAACTCAGGACTAATTGTTGCTGATAATGGGCCTCTGTACACCTAAGTAGATATTCCATTAAAGTTGTTTCAAGCTATGATAGTCGTTTAAATTAACTATGTCTACACGGTATTTCCGATCAATCTCATGTTATTTTAATGAACAAAAAACTTGTTTTTTTTTTTTTTCAAAAGCTAGAAAATTTCTCATTGACCCAAAACTTTTGAATGGTAGTGTATGTTGGATAAATTGCTGGATACAGCAGTTAACTGAAGCGACACAGGAGTGCGTGACTGAGTGATGCAGACGTAGGTAATCACACACCTGTTTGTGCTTGGAGGATGAGGTGGGTAGCACCAAGGAGAATGAGATCCACATGATCCTGCTCTACAATTCACCTCCACCAAAACCCAGAAACATTTTTTTCTTACTACAGAGTGGTTCTGATCATATTTTCTCAGGACAACGTTTTTAACATTGTCTGACTCTTAACAAAAGTCAATTTGCACGAATAATGTCAGATTCAACATGAGTATTATCTAAATACCATAACCTGTAGGTGAGGTGTTGTTTACGAATCACTCATACGATCTGCCGGTTCCCCACAATGCACTGTCTCTGTGCACAAGGCGACCAGCCGAGTGGAAACAACACAATAGCAGGGGGGGTGGGGAGGGTCAGCTCACCATTACTCAGCGGTGTCTGCGAAACACAGCTGTCAAAGGTGTCTATCCCTGCATGAGGTCAAATGGTCCATCCATGGTCACACCCTTTCATAATGATCTTTTTTCCTACCTTATATATAGTAGGATTAGGGTTTTTTTTACATTTGTAAGAAAACAAACACACAATATGTTTATTATGAATTTATATATCATAAAATATTTATACAAAAACCATATTAAAACCATTAGAATTAGAAAACAGCAAAACTGCTTTATTATGCATAATATTTGTTATATTCAGTTTTTAATACTTTGGCACAAAAATTTGGACACCTAAAATGGCTCATTTGTATATTGTTTCTAACATAGGAAGCAGAAATACAGACAGGTTCTTATGGTAAAGCTATAGCACATTAACAAATTCAAAACCACTGTCCCTCACATGCCATGATCCCACATGATTTGCTGGGGCTGCATGACATCACAGGCCTGCTGACCTCTTCACTAGCTATCGTTTACACTAGCGAACTTCATCCATAATAATGAGCACGCACAATCAAGCAGTGTGCATAGTAAATTAAACAGAAGTGGGAATGGAGCAAAATGTGGGTCTGGGTTATAAATACAATACAATTCATCTATTGATTTAGAGTTTGATAGCACATAAATAATACTTCTGCTCTGTGTAACACGCCCATACATACCAGAATATGCCGCCGGCCTGCTTAACGTCCATTTTCCATTACAAATGTTTATCGCTGCCATTTTTCTTCCTTACTAACTGCTGATAAATGTTCCATTTTAGCCCGTTCCATCTCTGGGTCTATCTATCATGTAGAAGTCATGCTCAAGCACCTCCCTGTAGATCTGAACATACGTGGAGGTTGTCTTCATTCTAGGAAGGATGTGTATGGCCGTGAATTCATCTCTGGTTAGACACCGTTTACCTCCAGCAGCCCTCACTTGATTTATGAAGCCAAGAGCAAAAGCATAACAGCAAGTGCCGAACTCCCTCTCTTCGTGAAATCTGTAAAATACATATTTTAAACTGATATTAATGACTATACTTTGTTTGCCATTTTTATAAGCACATAGGAATTCTTTGGTTTTCACATAGCCCTTCTCGCTATGTGACACAAACAGCTTAGAGTGAAGCTTGACATTGCGATAGTGTTATGGATTGCGTCCGGGAAAGCAGCACAGACGTAGTGAATTTGGGTAAACAGGGATTCATTTAGAAATTACAAAAACCACAGGACAAAACGCAAGCACGAGCGTCAATGACCAGACAGGGGTAAGACGGACACGGAAGCACTAAATTCAAGAACCAATTAACAATGACTAGAAACAGCTGAGAACACCGGGATTCCACATGAGGTAAGAAGGGTGCGTGGCACACAGGAGGACTGGACGAGCAGGTCATGACACATAGCCAGTTTTCTGACAGCCCTGGAGCAGTATTCAGTGGTAAGGACCTTGCATAATGGCTCAAAATCAGTATGATTACTCCGTCGACCATGGGACTCCTAACCCACACAGTCATCTCCTACTAATACAGCAGATCACTTAGACATTCTTAATTAATAGTCCTTTTTTGTGTGCTTTATAAACCACACAGTCAAAACATGCACATGACATTGTGTTGGCTGTGTTATGCCAAGGTACTGTCTTTAGTTTCAAACTGTCATTATCATATGCAGGGTGCCATCTTCTGAATGGCACATCTTACAGGTGGGTGCCAACTTAGCAAACCACTGGCTTGCTACCAAAGTATCAAATTGCAATAGGAGAAATAATTTTAGGGTATAATCAGAATTTGTTTGGGAAACAAAAGAGATGAATGAGAAAGTAAAGTTTTGGCACTTGAGTCCAGTCTTGAGTCAGACTCGGCTCAGTCGTGACTCAGACTCGAACACCAGTGACTCGAAAAACCTTCCTGAGTCGATACAAATCCGTAGCATATTCCTACAACCTGTATGCAACCATATAGCCTCCTGCTGCATTTCTTATCTTATATTATTATCCAACATTGTGCCCCCACCCATCCAATTAAATTACATTGTCCTCATGTCTGGTTCCAGAACCGATTCTAAATATGTCCAGCAGGATACAGTCATGTCATGTCAGACTTGCCTCCCCCTGGGACTCAGTATTGATTCAAACTCTAGTTGTTAAAGCTACGCTCTTGATCCAGATGTGAGTACGGTGGACTTAAACACAGCGTTAGGAAAAAGTGACTGCACACATCAGCACTGCAGACAGGTAACCTTTAGGTGTGCTGATTCCGGTACCTCTCAGGGGGCCACATGTCTGACAAGGCAAAGTGCTCCAGCTCTCGGTCCCACAGGCTCACGGCACTGGCTGCACCTGGCTGGACCAGCCGGACAGCTACACACTGTTCCCATCCAGTCTCATCTCTTCTGACGCCTTTCATGGTGTAGTTATAGACCACGCCTGTACACAACATAAAAACCTTTAGACAAAGTTCTCCAGTTGTCTTGCTTTTTATTGGTCAGTGCTTCTATCTGACAGGGTGTTTTCTGGAAAGGTCTGAGGGTGACAGTGACCCCAATCAGGATAAGCAGTTACAGAAAAATGGAAGGATGGATGCTTATACCAAGTGACAACTCTGGCACGGAAAGCCTGGTGGGCACGATAAACTCTGTATGGACAGCATCTGACTCCTTAATAAAGCTACACAAAAACCTGCAATTAAACTAAATTTTACTTTTATTAAATTGTGTACTTGATTCGTTATTGCCTTTTGCTATTAGTAGTGGCTAATATATCTGTGATGACTAACAATTGATACCATAAGTAACTTTTAATAAACAGTGTAATGTACAGTATGTCATTCTAAGAGAAGACGGCACACTTATCCTGAGAATGTCAACATTGTCAGTTTTTTCTGGATACATCTCAGTAATTTCATAATCTAAAACAAATTAATAAGATGAAACTGTCCACAAAACTGTCCTCAAGCTTATACTATTAACCTTCTAATTACCTCATCAAAATACCATATACATTGCTCTAAATATACCGGTTGCAAGCCATTATTCACAGTCCTTGAAGCAAATTTGGAAAGTTACTTAGAGTCACTTACAAGTCGTAAAAATTGACATGTAGGACTTTATCCTTTGGTGTGATTTCCATATATATCGCCTGAAAATGTTATGTAAATAGTTACAGTATGCATAGGAATTTTTGTATATTAACATATAATTCTAATGGGTGACAGTGCTTTTTTCCCTGTCCTTCGAGCACTCTTCTTTGATGGTCGTATTTATCTCCTGTACATGAAGATGATTACTGTATTTTATTTGTAAATATGTTGTTGCCAGGACGATTATTGGAAGTATCGGACTCGCACTGCGCTACCGTATAATTGTTACGCTGAATTATTGATCATGTCGTGCTCTACTCCATACTATATAGGCTACTACGTCTGGGGGTGCCAAGGCCCCACCGGCCTCTAAACGTAGAGACGCCCCTGAATCTCTTTAGAAAGCTAGGCCTAGCTAGTTCCCCGTCCCCATTATTGAACACTATAATGTGTACAGTTATTAGATTGAATTTTGCCGTAATCAGATCAGATTTTCTTATTAATTAAATAAATTAGATATATCTGGGAAGATGTATTTCAGTGCAAAGTACCTTTAGAATTTGTTATTCCCACATGCAGCTCCGAGTTGTCCCGCTCGCTGTGAATCAACAAAGTAGGGTTATGTAGCTAGCATAAATGATCTAGCAGTTTCGTGTTATGTTTACCTTGTTTTTATACTTAATTGTTTGATTATGAACCGCAAGAGAACGCACTGCCAGGGCTGGACTGGGACTAATCGTCTATGGACTTTGGGGCTCTCCACCCCCCCACGAGAATTTTGCCGAGCAGGGGGTCCCCAAGTGGCCAGTCCAGCCCTTTGCACTGCATTTGTCTTGGAAGGAAAAAGTTTGATGTTCATTATTAGTAGTAGCCTAATACAAATAATTTAAAGTATGCTGAAATACAGCATTAGTCATTTAAATGAAATCTTCCGTGTCCTTCTATTTTGCAGAACATACCTGATATATAATGGTCCATGCATGGACCCAATAGTAAGCGCATACGGAATCGCATGTCCATTATCAAAAGGGGTTCGAATGCTGACAGGAGCGTCCAACAGACTGAACCGTAAACGACTGTTACAAAGAGGACAATGCGGCGAAGATGATCTTCCAGCAGAATCGACAAATCCGCCACTGTCGCTGTTGTGAAAAGAAAAGCAATATATGTATTTATCGCAGTGGCTAAATCTAATTATGCTTCTGTCCATTTGTCAACGACGTTAATAAATGCTAGAGGTTTAACTACCGCTGTGGGCGAGGCCAGATTTCCGACTGCACCGGACTGTGATTGATAGTTTCCGAGTCATGCTGATATTGTACGAGGGGCATAAACTTAAAATCTTTGACTAGAACTTTACTTCTTGTTGAAACGGATACTGCATACATGATGCATATGTACAGAATGTATATGCTTTGAAAGAACATTTTTTACAAATAAACACACCTTGATTTTTTTTTTATTTTTTTTGGCGGAACCGGTTTTTATGTTAACTTTATGTAATCTTGGCGTCTGGTCTAGAGATTTTCACAGGGGCATATTTATTTAACATTTAAATTGAATGCAGTGACTAATTATGTTTGTAAATGAAGTCCAGGACTAAAATCAATGTATCCGGAACCATTAGTGTGTAGCTTCGTGTTGTTATGGTGTTTGAAATTGCACGTAAAAATGGCTATAGCGAGGGACAGTAAGTGCGACTAGCTGCAGGTGCACCCCTCTCCGAATTAGTGTTATGTTCGCGAACTATCCGATTGTTTTCAATTGATACGAACGAGAGCCGTTCTTTTTACGACGGTGCCCAAATTTCACTGTCTGTACTAAATCCAGTCCACTCCTTTACGTGAAAAGTGACAGCCAGCCAGTCATAGGCTATAGTTAGACGTTGGCGCGTTACGTACCTTAAAGTCAGAATGAGCAGAATGGCAATACAAATTCTTTTAACATTAAATGTTGCATAAATTACATTAAAAGCAAGACCAGTTCATTTACATACTACTTCATACAGAGGGTAAATTCATAAATATATATTTACTGACAAGGATATGACGTCACCTCATTTAGACCCTGTGTTTACAATGCATATCATTGCCATTGTCTTGTGATATGAGTAATTTAGAGCTGCTAATCCTAGTTCACACGTGCGAAATGAAATTTTGCGAAATGATCCTTATTTGTTAGGAAATATTGATTGAGCCTAGATATACATTTATATACATATAAATGAATTTCCGCGAAGTAGGATTCTTTATTTCTGTATTATTCGGCTGCAACTGGCGTTGAAGGATTTGCGGGGGTGCTCGAATACATAGGCCTACAGTCC